TGGAGGCGAAAATGTTGTAGGCCCGTGTACTCGGATTTGGGTGCACGTTAAAGACCTCCCAGTTGGTCGAAATTTCCGGAGCCCTCCACTACGGCGTCTCTCGTAATCATATTGTCAGTCGGCGTTACAATATGGTAGTTTTTGGGACATTAAACCCCACATATCAATCATTAGGCGTAACAGGACGGATGTTAGGGTCTCTATACAAGCACTTAAATTCTTCTGTGTATCGATGTCGACATAGTTGCGACATAACTCAAGAGACTACAACGACTAGTCAGATTTACTTTTGAAGAACACTATTTTCGGGCTACTTGGTAGCACATTTTGGTTAAGAAACTAACTGAGAGAGAAAATCGCAGCCAAGACACGCAGAACACTCGAAGTGTTTGGCGCTGTGTGGGCTTGCTTACGTGAATACTTGGGCGTGTGCATGCGCTAACGTGCCAATTTCGCGCTCGATTAATTTCAGGCTATTGGCAGATCATGCTTTGTGATCAACCTATAAGTTATTATGGGCAGTTCGCGTGTGAAAGGTTTCTATTTTAGTGTGTGTTCATGTGTGTGCGCGTACGTGTGCGCACCATAGATAGATAGATAGATAGATAGATAGATAGATAGATAGATAGATAGATAGATAGATAGATAGATAGATAGATAGATAGATAGATAGATAGAAGGACAGATAGATAGATGGATAGATAGAAGGACAGATAGATAGATGGATAGATAGAAGGACAGATAGATAGATGGACAGATAGAAGGACAGATAGATAGATGGACAGATAGAAGGACAGATAGATAGATGGATAGATAGAAGGACAGATAGATAGATGGATAGATGGATAGATAGATAGATGGATAGATGGATAGATGGATAGATGGATAGATGGATAGATGGATAGATGGATAGATAGATAGATAGATAGATAGATAGATAGATAGATAGATAGATGTAGCAGGGTCGATAAAACAAAACTATGTGATTAAGGACGAAATAATGTCTAACTTGGAAGAAAAAGTAAGCGAGATACTTATAGCATAGCCGAAAGTTTATTTTTTATTTTTTTACTTTCGCCTGAACGTGTCTAAAATAAATACAGATTTGCAGGCGGTAGACGGAACATGTGCGTTTTGTATGCTTGATCAAACTAGGCAAGTAAAAAAAAAAGAAAGCTTCGTTTGCACTGGTTACGCAATGTCAAAGAGACAGCAAAGCTGATGGGTACTTATGCGGTCCTGGTTTTGCTGTTCTGATAAAATTAGCGAATCTTTTTTATGTATTTTTCTTCTCTATTCTCAATGACTTGTGACTTCTTCTGTGTGTTCCTTTACATTTATTCATTTATTTTTCTACATAAATATTTTTTTCGTATTTCATTCCTTCTATTTCTCGCTTGTTTCCTCCTTCTTCCTTTCGTTCTATATATATATATATATATATATATATATATATATATATATATATATATATATATATATATATATATATATATATATATATATATATATATATATCGTTCTCTTACTGTCGTTGATTCTATCTCGTTCTGCATTTATTTATCTCTATTTTCTCTTTCTCATTCTTTCTCCGCATTGCTTTACTCTCTCCCCTCATCATTACCGTCCTGCCCATCATGACATCTGTCCTCACCCTCAGTGCCCTTTCCCAACCCAACGCCATCCTGCTACTAAGCAAATGTATGGGGCCGATTCGCCGCCCCGCCTTCTCGGGTGAGAAGGAGGCGGCCGTCCACCCTGCCTCTTCTCCCACGTGTGCACTTTACGCAATCTTCAGGCCCGACCACACGTACGCAGAGCGCGTGGCTTCCCCGTGGATGGAGAGGGCACGGAGCCGCGTCAAACAGCCACGCGCCGACACGCTACAACGCGTACGTGTGGTCAGGCCTCTAGGAAGCTCCCGCGTGCCAAATTCCCTAGATCTAGGGACCTTATACCGCGTGCAAGCCATGTGCGCCGAGACGCGCTCGGCGTCGTTGTTTTCGGCGCCGATGATTTCCGCAACGCTCTCGTCTCATGCACCGTCGTGTACGCTGTGCCACTCGCAGCACCGTTGGCGACGTTCTTGACCAATCTGGCACGTTTTCGAGAAGTTTCGAAGCCACAGGGGCACTACTATACTTTCACCCACGAAGGCGTATGGCGCGCACTTGAGCGCTTGAGGCCGCGGGATCGAATCCTGCAGGCCGCAGCAGCCACATTTTCGGTGGATGCGTAAATGCTCGAGGTCCGTGCACTTAGACGTAGGTGCACGTTAGAGATCCGCACGTGGTCGAAATTTCCGAAGCCCTCGACTAACGGCGTCTCTCATAACCACATCGTTGTTTGGGACGTTAAACACAACAACAACAACAACAACAACAACAACAACAACAACAACAACAACAACAACAACAACAACAACAACAACAACAACAACAACAACAACAACAACAACAACAACAACAACAACAAATCACGACGTCATCTACAACATCTGAGCTTTTCGCTATTCTGTATGCTCTAAAGTTTATAAACTCGGTAGCAGACGCTAGAAAATGGGTACTTTTCAGTGACTCACAGGCCGAATTAAGATCACTCTCCAGTACAAACAGGACAGTAATAAGTGATAGTATGACATACGAAACGCTGAAGGAGCTCACTAAAGCAACGAAGGCGCAACATGAGATCAAATTCCAGTGGATACCTGGCCACTGCAACATTCCTGGAAACACAGCTGCCGATGAAGCAGCACGACAAGCACATCGTAAAGACGTTACTGTTTCTTTACCGATTTCGAAAAATGAATTACGTAGTATTATAAAGAATGCAACTTTCAGAATGAGCAAAACTGCTTGGTTTGACCAAAGTACAAAGAGCTGCGATTTATATCACATCGATTCATTTATTGAATTTAAAATTACGCTGGCATTAGATAGAAGGATGGAAACTCTAATTCACCGATTGAGGCTAGGCACCGCATACACAAAACATTTTTTGCACAGAATCGGCAGAGCTGAAACTCCCGAATGCGATTGTGGATTTATAGATGAAGACGTATGTCACCTTCCCATAGACTGTCCACATCATGACACGCCAAGACGCCGTCTTAAAAGCGAACTGTTCGCATTGGACCACAGACCATTTAGCATGAAAAAACTTCTGGGCCCGTGGCCAACTGGAGTTTTACAGTCCCACGCTTTAAAAGCATTAACACGTTTTTTACAAGACAGCGGGATTGCTGACAAGTATTAACAAAGAACAAGCTTTCATTTGTAACACATGTTCTTATTATATACAGTATCATGTGACACCCATCACGTGTGTGTTGTGAAATGAATGACGTGTCGACTATTATGTACATACGAGCGAATGCATCTTTATAAGGACCAGACGTGTGCTTTGTTGTTTTGTTGTTGTGTTTTGTGTTTGTTGTTTGTGTTTTGTTGTTTCCAGAGACTTCTTACAATAACTTTCAAACATTTACTTACCATTGTGATATGTACGTATAAGTGTGTCTTTGCATATCTGTGCCTGAGTTTTCTATTTTCCATGCACTGCTCTGTATGTTTTGCTTCAAGATACGTGTTCAAGTTTCAATCAACGGCTAAGGAGTAGCCGGCGCCATAATGGTGCGCCAACATCTCCTTATATATCATATCAATAAAAAACAACAACAACAACTATTATTATTATTATTATTATTATTATTATTATTATTATTATTATTATTATTATTATTATTATTATTATTATTATTGGGTGCTTCGTGTCACCGTATAAGTTGACATGAAGATAGATAGATAGATAGATAGATCCAGGCCGTATAATTATTTAGGAACAGCAAGGAATCAAAGAACGGGTGGTCATTGCGTCAAACCGCATAGTAATTGTCTAGCTCCAGCTAGCACCTGACTGGCGTAATAAGAGTTAAATATCTCATAAATTGCTCCCCCAAAAAACATCTGATGGCACATCCTACGTTTCCTTGATCGAGCTAACAAAGCACGTCTAGTTATTCCTTGTCATGACTAGTTTTAAATCTGCTCTCCGCGCCACAACAGGCGCCACCGACCTTAGCTTCCTTAACTATCGGAACATTCCATCAAAGAGATGAAACCTCTGCGACAACAAATAGTTCTTGAGCTTTCCTGCTGCGCACGCATCAGTCAAGTACCAGCACGTATCCAGCAACGAATTGAAACGTAGAAAAAGAAAGAAGAATAAGAAGAATGTCTTATTGTTTTTTTTTCGTTCGGGAAGCGACTCCCGCAAAACAAAATCGTCTAAATGTCGCAGCTGGGAACACTTGCGAGACGGGGTTCACTAAAGGTTATCCAAAATTTCAACTTTCTCTTCGAAGAGCGTTTCCAAGAAAGAAAGAGAGAGAGAGAGAACAGAAAAAATGAGAGATAAAGGAGAAAGAAACAAAGAAAGAAGAAAAGACAGAAAGGCGAACAGAAATAAAGAAAAAAATATTGACAGAAAAGGAGATGGAAAGAAAGAAAGGAAGCTCGCGAGTCAACTTGGTTCAAACTCGCTCGTGAGCGCTCTTTCGTATTGAAGCGTCAGTAACATAAAATAAGAAACAAGGAGGAACAAAAAAAAGTCCCAAGTTTCCTTGCTCGGGAGCGACTCGGAAAAACAACTCGCTGTAGCAACAGCACGCTCCGACATTAAGCGAAAGAAGTAATGGACGACGGAATAGAAAACACGGCGGCATTTTAAAAAGTGCATCCGAGCAGCAAAAAGGCACACGCGAAACGCGCACTACCCAAAACGACGCGGCACGCAGCAGACGACCAGCGAGCCATCGGCGGGCGACACACTAACCGAATCGGATCGGCTTACCGAGCTTACCGCTGCATAGCGAAGCAACAAGTGTAGCGTAACGTTAAAGACGAAACCTGTAGTGACTCGAGAAATCAATCGACGTCCAGCGTCGTCGATTCGCTAGTGAGAGAGAGAGAGAGAGAATTGTCGACGAGATCCTCACTCACCTCGCGCGGGTTGAAGGCATCCTCGTCGGAGAGGCCGAGACTCCTCATGTGTTTCAAGTAGGCCGTCGTGATGGGAACGCTGAAGTCGACATCGGCCGCCGACACGGCCGCGATGCGCGCGCCCGCCGCGCGCACCCCAGGGGCGCTCGCATCGCCCGCGGAGGCGCCGCCTGGCGACGCCGCCGCGGAACGCGTCGGCGACGGCGCGCTAGCGCCGCCAGCGGCGTCGCGCGAAGGGCTGCTGCTACTTCCGGCTTCTCCGCTTCCGGGTCTACAGCTGTCGTTGATGTGGTTGTTGGCGTCGTTGCTGTGGTAACCGGAGGACGCAGTCTCGGTAGTTGTCGGCGCTGCCGCGGCTGAGGGCGTCGTTGCGGCGGCACTGCCGCTTTTGTGGGTCGGGGAGCTCGCGGCGCTGCCCTGCGCCGCCGCAGCTGTGACGATGGCGCTCAGCGCGCCGTTTGTGAGGTGCATCCTCTTCTGGCAGTCGGAGCAGGACATGAGGAAGTGCGTGACCGCCTCCCGGGGCAGGAAGGCGTACAGCTCGGCGATCTGCGTTTTACGAAAGGAAGGGGAACGTTCTTTCTTGAGACGCGAGATATGCCGACAATGTCGGCGCAGTGGGCTTGTTTAACAAACACAAAATGTTTATGTTAAACTGAACCGACCCTCAAAAAAAAAAGTAAAGAAGCAAGAAGGGCGTCAAGGTTGTTCCCACAGAAGCGTAGCTGACTTACCATGCCATTCCTCCATTTTGGGAAGCAACTGAGACGGGACTAACTGTTACCCCCCCCCCCCCCACCCCCACGTTTTTACTCCTCATTATACCAACAGCTGCTCCTCCCCGATGCTCCTCAAGGGAGCAACAAATGTTACATTGTTGACATAACTCCTTAAGGAGCTAGGCTCCTCAAGAGAGCCCTTGTCGCTCCAGTGAGGAAAAGTTTTACTCCCTTGGGAAACGTATTGTTACATTCTCAATAGGTGGCAACTTCTTTTTGCTCAAAAAAATAATTAAGAGTTCTGGGTTGGCTTATTCGGCATTGCGAAGTTTTTTTTTTTGTTTTTTTAGATGTACGTGTCGAACTGGCCCAATATTGTTGTGTGTCGTATGCAGCACGTAAGGATGCTTTTCGAATCCGCCAAGTTGGGTAATGAACAGATGACTTGACTTTTTAGTTTGTAAATCTAACGAAAAATCATTGCAAAAGTTGCACCACTTCTAAAAAGCAGAAGATTTCATCAATGGTAAGATAACTGCCCGTTTCATAAGCTGGGCAATGAACAAATATTGCTTAATTAACATTAACATAAATAACTGTAACCAAAAGATATTCTGTGGAACTGCTTTAATATTTGTTCAGCAACGTTGCCTCATTTCATTATGCTACCATAGCTACCCTGTTTAATGTTTTCCCCGGCTTTTCTTAGGACTGCAGCAGATTATGAAATGTACTCTATCCAAGTTAGCTGTAACACCATGTATAGCATAGCTGTGCGAAATAAACAGGGACGAAAAAACACGCATAACACGGAAAAGACACGGACACTTTTCTTGTTTCTCTTGCTTGGATTTCATTTTTAGGCATCGACTTTGTTTTCTTTTCCCGCTTGCCATTTTGTCATTGAGCTGGTACGAAAATAAAAAATAAAACGTAATTTCATGTTATGGCTGTCCCTTTCGCTATTCATGTAAACCTTAAGACTCTTCATCTCTTTTTTAGAGGCACGTGTAAAAATTATGTGTTATTATATTGAGTCGCTTTGGCTTTGTGAATTACAGTTGAAGTTTGCGCCCGTCCTCTGCACTTTCCTTTGTTCGTCAGTGTTTTTTTTTTCGCAGCTTTGCGTTCAAGAATGCACTCACTAGCACAAACAATAGCTTCACTGGAGTTGTTGGTGGGTCACAGTTGAAATGTTTCCCGGACAACCGAAGGGAACATAATGTCACTTGTTGGGAGTTAATGCTTGTCTCATTTTCTTCGTTTCTTCTGATTGCATCCATGTTTCGATCGGCTAGCCGGATAACATTTCAACTATGATAACGTTTCAGCGACATATGTGTCAGACATGACCACGAAATATTTCGGAAATTTATTTATTTATTTATTTATTATTTATTTATCATAGTACCCACACGTCTATGGCATTACAGTGCGGTGAAGGAGAATACAATATTTCAGTAGAGAATACACATTCAAATACGTCAACATTGCAACAAACGCAATTCGCTGTCAACTTGCGATGTGATACATGGGATATAAACACAATATAAAGCAGGCTTGTAGAACAGTTTTGTCCTTGCCCAACCACGCGAGTGCACTGCTGGAGACCCAGCAGTTCATTTGAAAATACTTCATGTGAAATAATTTCTCCTATTTCAGGAAACAACCAGTTCCGTTGGTTTATCGCCATGGGAAAATAATGACATTTATAAATGCTTCAGTCCGGCAGCTCATTTTCTTTATCTCATTGGCATGATTCAGCCGCTGTGAAACGTAATCCAGTTTACGAAAGTATAGCGATGGCACCAGACCTGTTCCGTGATGGAATACGTTGTGAAAAACGTTTCAACCCGAGGTATTCCCTTCGTTTACATGGACGTTCCCAACCAAGCATTTCTTTTGCTTCTGACTGTGTTAAAAGCGAATTCTCAACTTTTTCGAGATCAGCTGCGTCGTTTGCGACAGGGTAGATCTTGATATCCCAGCAGCATCGCAGTATGACAAAAAAGTTGCGGCAATTTTAGTCTTCCACGAAACTTTACAAGATCATAGCACCGTCGAACCACGCTTACGGTATGTTCATGCACCTGTACAGTTGTTGGTTCTTTACAAATGCTACAAATACTCAATAGCCAGAAGTACGAGACAGCAGTTGGGAACATTTAAGAGCGTTTGTTCTAGCAGTAAGCAATAAATTGAGAATACACGACGCCACAACAGCTTTCGGTTCGTTGTCCAGCAGTGACCTGAAATTCCCGACCAAGTTCATACACTTGATGTACGGTGGAAATGCTAAATATTGCTTTGAAAGGCCCTACATCAACGTATCCAAGCAATGGTGCATTTTTTTCGAGACTCGCTTATAAATTTATCTAGCTCTGTCAGTCGAAATGGAATTTCGAGACATGAAACTGGGTAAATCTCGAAAAATGACAGTACTAATAGGAAAGATACGAGATCTGGAATAAAACTTGAACGAAGGTTAGCCTGAATACACAGAATAAATAAAAAATAAAGCACGGTAAGGATAACTGCATATAAAACAGTAAGTTAAGCTGTAAGCCGAATGAATGCTAAAAAAAAAAAAAACGTTATCGCTAATGGAAGCAATGTCTTCTAGAAGGTTGTTATACTCAAACTTTTTCCTACTAGGAAACAACACTTATATACAATGTACCATGGTTATGCAAGGAGACACTGGCACTGTGAGGGCGATCGATACTACCGGACACCCTATATTGTAGAGTACACGCAAAGAGAGCTAGAGTCAAAATTTTAGAGACAAAGAAACGCAAGAAAAATCGGAATATTGCGTCTGCTATGGCAGGAAGCTCTAATCGTCGATTTACGGCTTGTTCTTAAACGTCCTAACTACACGCATCGACCGAACTCAGTGGAAAATTACCGGGACTTTGCTTTGAACACCTGTAGTGGTCTCTAAATTTCTTTCGCCAACTGTACACTGTTACATGTTATAACAACGTATGAAACAACGCCAAACGAGAAAGGTGTATACATCGAGCAACGGAGAATGTTAGCAAAATTATGGCTTATGCAACTCTCACGCAGATAATTTTGTTACAAGTACGAGCACAGTCCCGAGGACCTTGAAGGTTTTGTTCTTCAGGCCTATCGTGACTCCGCCACCGTATAGAACGGCACGTTTCTTTGTTTACGTTTTGCACAACCCCTGTCGTGTAAACGGGCAGTCGATCCCGCGACCTATACACTTGTGGGCTGTTTACACCGGAGCGTCACAGGTGCGTTTCATTTGATCTTTTGCGAGGCAGCCCGTGCATGGCGTTCAATCTGCACCTCTTTCGAAGGTATATATAGTTGAGCCGCTTTCGCAGCCCTTTGGAAAGTTAATAAATAAAGCGACGATATAAACAGAAAGTTGACGGATCGAAATAAAATCGAGTTGATACACCGCAGCCAGCCCTTCTTATGGCTGTGTCTTTACAGATGCGAACACAAAAGGCGAGAAGGTTTTCAGTGCAGCTCATAGGTTGACTAAAGGCCTTATTAGGGTTACAAATGTAGACATTCCGAGAGAGAACGCGCAAACATTACACGCTGAACAAGGTCAAGAGGTACACTGATTGTTTTCCCAACTGGAGTTAAACTTGAACCACACTACTCGGAACAGACTTTAGACACCGTTAAGAAAAACAGCTGACAGCCATGGGAAACGGTAGATATCATCAAGGGTCGTCTGAAGCACGCTACTGCAAGCACTAGATCGATGCAGTTACCGCCTATACATTCGAAGTATGGTAGCAGGAGACTGCATGGCGTAGCAAACACAGGCGTTGATTTATTATCAACAAGTGTTATGAACAAAGTAGCCTGTTAGCGTGATTATTTCTCATCTTGCTGTTCCTCTGTACCCTTCTTACAGTGACTACGCACTGTGCATGACCACACTGACGCCTTCCACAAGAAATAGCCCTAGCCGCAATGCGGTCATGATAGTTTTGGTGTCCATCAAGACGCGGTGCCCGTGCTATGGCACTAAGCCCTGCCTAAGACACCACATACTGGTGATGATGACATTTGGTTGTTAGTGGCGTAAGTGCCAATTGTGGCCAAAGAGTGTCACGTTAGTGACCGTGTGATGTTTACGATGACCAATGATTTGCCATGCGAGCATCTAATGTCGGTGTAAGGTGGTCTAATAACAGGTCGTCTAGGGAAGCACGTAGAGCGGGAAGTTCCGTCGACTCACAGCCTTGTAGGTCCTTTTCTGTCCGGCGTGCTTTCCTCCTCGGCCATCCATCTCGACGTGGACGCCGTAGATGATCTCGAAGAAGTTCTCCACCACCGCGACCCGCTTGTACACCGTCGTCTCTCCATCACCACCCTTCTGAAAACACGAGCAAAAGAGAGAGATATAAAACAAGGTTTTACTGAAGTCGCTGTGCAGTGAAGTCCTTTTCTGACCTCTTCACAGACCTTTAAATGAAAGAGAAAAAAACGCCGCCATGCTGGGCTATGCTTGTCATGCAGCCATGCAGCCATGCTTGTTAAGCGCAGTAGCACAGCCCAAACAGAATTATGTCAGTGCGCAAGAGGCAGAGTTGCACACGTTCTTCCAAAACAGTAACGAAAGCTCGTTCCTCATTCGTTACCAATTCAGGAGCAAGTTCCCGTTACAAGTACCTTATAAATAAAAGGAAATCGTCACAGTTGCATTTCAAGAATGGGAACGCATCGTTACAATAACGTTACTTTTCAATAGACGAGAGTTTTTATTAAAATTTAGTGTCGGATGACGCTGAGGCGAAATAAAGTGAGCAATTTAAAGCTCACCTCGAGCTGCTTTATATTGCACGAATTTGACATCGCCGCCAGCAGGTTACACGTTTACGTTACTCCAGACTTGTCTAACTGCGATTTTCGTGATCGGCGACTACAATGCCAACACAGGTGGCACTTTCCGCGCCGGTCTTTAAATGCGCAGTGTGGCAACCGCGCTTGATGTACTCAAATAAAAATCTCCACCAATGCACTGATTTAGTTCATTTTTTAGCACAGGAAATTGCATCAAAAGGGACAGTACTTAAGCGTCTACTGAGCGCTGCTTCAATGTTTCAGTAGGTCTTCTCGATTTTGACTGCGCTTTCTGCACTAGTTCAAAAGTGCTGCACTTTGGCGCTCGCTTTTGGCGAGTGCAGCCCGCGACCACCTGCACTTCTGCACTCCATTTGACGGGGTGTTGCACGATTTCATCGGCACTGCAGCACTATCCCTCATTTTGACCGCTTGACCGAAACCGCTAGTGCTGTGCTGCACTAGCACTGGAGAAATTAACGCGGCACTGGCACGACACTTTCGTGAACTACGTCTAGAACGTGTGACCAAACCGAGGAGACCGGGTGTCAAGAGAAAATAATATCTAGGATACACATTTGCGACTTAGCGAAGTAACCTGTTTGCAGTCAGCTAACATGTCCCGGTATACTTATTTCTTTGTTTATCCTTTCTCTCTTTCCTTCTTCTTCTTTTTTCTTTCTTTCTTTGTTTCTTTTTTTCATTCTCTATTTTTATTTTTACCTTTCTGTCTGTATCTTTCTTTCCCTACCTCTTTTTATTTACCTCTGTATAGTCATTCTCTCGGCTTTTTCTTTCTTGCCTTTCTTTTTCTATTTTTTGTTCTCGTTATTAATGTTTCTTTTCTTATACATTTTTCATTCTTGCCTTGATTTTTTATTGAAATAGAAAATAACAAAAGGAGTTTTTGTCACCGTTACTTGGCGACGGCTACCCCTTTCCACTTCATTAATACAAAATATATAAAAACAATAGCAAATACACATATACACAGTCCTACATGGGTTAGAGCAAAAATTCTCCTATGGGCAGAACAAACACGTAGACGCCACGCTCAGTTTTAACTTTTCTCTTTTTATTTATCGATTTCTGTTTTCCTCTTTTTTATCTTCTTCGTGCCCATTTCTCTTTACCAACCCCTGGACACACCGAACTATGCAAGGCTATGCTGTTCACTGCATGAGTCCGTGCATGCCTCAGAGAAACGCGTGTCCCCTTATTCCCTCCACATTCCACTTCATAAGGATGGTCCCTCGGCAAACGGAAAGTCAACCGGAACGCTACTTGCATTGTTGATGTGCTTGCTGTTCTAGCGTATGATTGGAAAATACCATTACTTGGCGCGTTCCCTTTCGAGATAAATGCGAATTCTTCAGTGCTTTGTGTTAATCGTTGGGTCGCGATACGAGCGGATTGAGCATGTTGGCTTCTGTCTGCGGCACTTGCTTCAAGGTGTCACGTCGAATAAATACCACGCAAAAAAAATACTGTATAGCTGAAGGGTTACGACGCTCCCATCACATCGTGTATCGGCTGTTTTAGAATCTCACCTTGACAACAATTTTGTTTCCGCCACGACTTTCTTTCTCTCCCTCTTTCTGTCTATTTTTATATAGTTTTCTGTATACTCGTTCTCTCTCCCACCAACGTCAAATCAGTGCACGTGTTGCGAAAGCGAAGGAGTGGATGAAAAGGACGACAAATAGAGCGTACGCCGATTCGTGATAATCTTTTTCTACGACACACGGGAAACCTTCAGCATACCACCTGCGGTAAAAAAAAAAGTGAACAATTTTCCGAAAACTCCTTTCATTTAATGCTCACGAGTCCGGTTCTCTTACAACAAATCAAGGCTGTCCAGAAGGCCCACGATGCGGCGGTGAGGCTGGGCCTCCCCGTCCCAACTTGGGAGCGGCCCACGATCCTACCCCTACGAAACGGGGGTGGAATCCTACAGGACCCCTATAAAAGCTTTTCATCCATCCATCATCCATCCAACTTCTTTCCGCACATGGTCAGTCTCGGCATCTTTCGCTTCCCTGCACCCTCGTTGGGCGCCTTGAAGTGAAAACCAGGATGCATCGTAGGCCGATGACAGGCGAGCGGTAAATTTTTTTTTTCGCCTTACGCTGCCACCTATCCGCCATATTCTGCACGATGCGAGGCCCACGACGCTTCTACGAACCAAGTAATGGTTCTAAAAAAACACTAGTGCAGCGTGCGTGCGCCAGTTGAATTCCGTGGAACATTTACAAACGGAACGTCGTTCCTTGTGCCGTTCCCTCGAAAACGTAACGCGTTACCGTTACAGTTCCGCTGATTCGGAATGGAACAGTGGCGTTCCCCCGTTCCTCCCAAAAGGAACTAGTTCATGGAACGTCGTTCCATGCAACATTGCCCAACAGTCGTTTGTGAAAGGGTCTATACTAATGGGGACGCTGCTTTCATAGAGTAGTGGCGCCACCTAATGGGTAGCCGACGTATCACCGACAACTACGCCGACGCTTTGCTGTGCGAGGAGAATCTATCGCAGAAATGCTATCTGGCGTACTAGCATGTATGCCCCCCCCCCCCCCTCCTCTCTTGTTTCTTCGCATGTTCGTTCTTTTGTGAGGTTTTGTCTAAAATGCGCGTGGTTCTTATTTAGAGTAAAGAGACAGTGCTTGGATAAACACGTAGCCTAATGGCACAGTTAATTTTACGGCGACACAGAAACACCCAAGACATATGTCACGGTAAAAGTTACATCTATAGCAGCACAGATAATGTACCTATATTTCGGAACAAACTTAGGAACGTAATTAACTAGGAATCGCAATCGGTAGTTTTTCCACGAGAAAAAAAAATAATCAGGTGTTCTCACATTTCCGAGAAGGGGCTGAAGGATTGACCTATACAGTTCTAGCTGTTCGGCTCTCCAGGACTAGACTCTCAACGGTAAGGAGCCAACAACTGAGATTACTATTTCAGGTCTCTCTTTTTTTTTTTCGCTGTTGTGCCTTACATTTCGGCAGGCACGGATGATTCACGCAGTGCTTCAGTTTCACTCGAAACTATGGAAATAAATGCGACCTGTCAGCGATGCTCGGGCGTTGCTTCAAGTACGCCATCGTGACAGGAGAAATGGCTCGATTCGCGTAGACGCTTGACGACAGCGTATGCGAGACTCAGAAGCCATGTGATTATAGGTCAGTACTCAAGAAATAAAAAAAAGGCTTTTGATTTTTGTGTCGGTTCCGATTGACTACCCACGTATATGACTCTATTTATTAAAGATACATGTGAACTACCTTTGGAGACATTGGTAATCTGCCCCGCCGCAGTGGTCTATTGGCTAAGGTACTCAGTTGCTGACCCGCAGGTCACGGGATCAAATCGCGGTTAATGCGGATGCATTTCCGATGGAGTCGGAGATGTTGTAGGCCGTGTGCTCAGATTTGGGTGCACGTTAAAGAACTTCAGGTGATCGAAATTTCCGCAGCCTTCCACTACGGCGTCTCTCATAATCATATGGTGGTTTTGGGACGCTAAACCCGACCTATCAATCAATCAATCATCAACTTTGGTAGCCTCTTCGGAGAGGCGTGGTAACCAAAGGAGAGTCATTAACAAGTCAACTCTCCAAAGGGAGTCAATGAGGAAAGGCACGACTAACCATAAAGAGCAAAGCGCACACTTTTTCTTTCGTTCACTTTTTTTTTGTTCAGGGCTAAATTTTTGTGGCAGGCTTAATCGCTTGCTCCCATACTGTATGTCAGCCTTGAAATAATTTATCGCGAGGAGCGAATACCGACATCTAACGTCTCTCTCTCCTCCTAGCAACACCACGCCAGAATAGGCTCCACCGTGCACGATGCCAAGGCGGTTTACTTCTACTTCGTTTTGCCTGGGTTCCCCGAAACTTTTGCCTACGGGCTTTGTTTGCTTGGCGGCGCGCAGCGCTTAGCATACCGAACGCCAACGATCACGCCCGCAGCTTCCCAACACTTATTGTTCTTCGAGCCCAACGGCCCACGCACGCACGACTACGCCAGCGGCAGCACGCGAGGACACGCCGAAAGGAAGGGGGAAGAAAAACTAAAGGTTACGCTGCTGGGTAAGAAAGGGTGGTTTTCCTCGCAATCGATGCCACGAGGAGGAAGCGAAGGCTTCCCCCTTTTTTTTTCGTCGACATCACTTCAACAGAGGGACACGTGGCGGAGCTAGCGAAACAACGAGATGCTTCCCCTTTTCCCCTATCACTGTCGGGAAAGTGGGCGAGCGAGCAGCACACATCCTTCGGTATACAAGGCAGCTTCCCAGTGCGCCCTTGTCAGGCCCTTCATCCTCACAAGCGAACTTCCCTAGCGTCCCGGTTCCTTTCTTTTTCCTCTTCCTTCAACTCAACTCCAGGCGGGCTCCCCTTTTCTGCTTCTGACCCAGTACTTTCCTTCCCCGAACGACGCCCAAAACTTCCCGACTCGAAAACCACTCCCCCCCCCCCCCCGGAATCACGCGAGCAGCGCCATACTTCCCCTCCCTTTTTCAGCACCG